CCCCAAACGGTCCGCAAAAGCCACAAGAAACATACAATCATCAAGAACCTGCTAAGCCTCAAAGGACGCTGTTGGGCAGAATACAAACGAACTGACAACAACGGAAAGTACAGGCAATACAAACATGTAAAGAACATATGCACGAAGGCTTGAAGAGAAGACGGGCTTCCGTACTAGATAAAGCTTATGGATAGATTTGTCTCCAATCCGAAAAGCTTATTTCGTTATGCAGCCTTTCTTAGTCAAGCTAAAACTGAAGTTTCCTAACTGCGACGACGCCGCTAGCCTTTTGGCTGAACAATACTTTCGGACATTTGAGACGACCCACATCAACTTTAAGGATGACAGCTTCATCTGCAACTGCACAGGAATTACCGTAGTGATCCTGAGCGCTGACTTGGTGTTCCGGGAACTGCAGCACCTAGGAAAAGACACTTCTCCTAGCCCAGATATGGTTCATTTTGCTATACTGAAGGAAGCAGCTTCAATCCTGGCATAATCTCTTAGCGTGATGTTGTCACACTCTCTAAGCCTAGGCAAACTACCGGAAAATTGGAAGCTGGCTCGCATCACAACAATTTTCAAAGGGGGTCGACGCGGCGAACCCCTAAGTTACCGACCGGTGGCTCTTCTCTCTATACCTTCAAAAATTATGGAGTCCCTGATATGCGATGGTATACATGACTATTTACTGTCCTTAAATCTCTTCTCACCCCAACAGCATGGTTTCAGGAACGGTTACTCTTGTATAACCAACCCGCTGACTGCGGTGGACAGATGGACAACCATCCCTGGTCGCAAGGGGAAGGCTGATATCATTTACCTTGATTTCTCAAAAGCTTTTGATAGGGTTAACCATATATGTCCTATCAATAAGCTAAAACGATTGGGTATCAGACCGCCTCTAATTGACTGGCTTATTTCATATCTGAAAAATGGAATTTTGAGGTTAGGGTAAACTTCGATTTCTCACACGCTATGGACTGACCTAGTGGGGTCCACCAGGGCTCAGTATTGAGACCTCTTCTCTTCTTGATTTATGTAAATGACCTTCCTCAACAGGTATCGTCAGACTTATAACTTTTTACTGATGACGTGAATTTTCGGAGAGAGACACGCAACCAAGACAATATACATGCATTTCAGGAGAATCTGACTAGACTTCGAAATTCGGAAGACGATAATGGACTTACCTTTAACACTTCAAAGTGTAAAGTAGTCCATCCGCGACATGTCGCAGACTAAAGTTAAGACTTCTCTTTAGTAGTACCCCTAGTCGAAAAAAGATTTAAAAGTTCTGGTGCCATACGATTTGAAGTCTAACGCTAACTGTGACAAAAATGCTTTTCGAGAAATCCTTGCACTGGTAACATTGAAGCGCATTCTTGGCCAGTTTGACCGAAAGGCTTTCCACATAATCTTCAACAGTTTTATTCGTCCGCATTTAGAGTACGGAAACATAGTATTTCCTTCTACACTCCAAAAGGATAAGGGCACTCTGGAGCGTATCCAACGGCGAGCCACGAAATCAGTTCGGGGACTTGAATTCAAACTATATTAAGAGCGCTTTCAATCACTTCACCTTTACCCATTAGAGTATGGGCGTATTAGAGGTGACCTTCTTATGGCTAACAGTACCCTTAACACTTCTGGACATCCTCTTAAACACCTACTTAAGCCTAGTCTCAATACGAACCTAAGGAGATACAACACAGCAGAACGGACTGCAGGCGCAACTTCTACTTCTTGAGAGTTGTCAAATGCTGGAATTCGCTGTCGGCCGAGCTAGTCCAAGCAACTTCCCACAAGTCCTTTAAGAGGCTACTTGATCTATTCTTAAGGACTAAGGACAGTATCTTATTATGATTTACCAATTTCTTTTTTTCTCTTATCGTTAATATACCTAGGTTCCTGCCTGGAGATATTGGTGATCCTAGACACGGAAGCCTGTTAAGCGAAAGCTTCTTCTATTCCGTCCACAATCATTTGAATCATCTGAACGGAGTGCAAAAAACTCTGACTCATAACTTCCCTCTTCTATCCACAAAACAAAATATCGGTGCCTGCTATCGTAAGTGAATTGAGTAATGCCCGAAGCTTGCTCAATAAGCGATCGGAACTAGGTGAACAGATTGACTCTACAAAGCCAGACATAATCGCAGTCACAGAAACCTGGCTGACACAGTCTATAGATAGTATGGAACTCGATTTTGAGGGTTTTACTATAGTAAGGACCGACAGAATACATAAGCGTAAAGGAGGGGGAGTAGCTCTATTCATTAGGAATACTATCCCACTTGTCATTATTGACAGTGTATCCCATAAAAGTGGGACGTGTGAATTGGTTAGTTGCCGTTTGAAATTCAAGGGGCAAGAGATGTTGATTGGTTTGGTCTATATCATTTCTAGCTGTGAGGTAAATGATGTCCTGCTAAACAGGCTCAATAATTGGTCGCAAAGCGGTCGATGTTTAATCCTAGGGGACTTTAATGTACCTATGGTAGACTGGGTAAATCTGCGAACTGAATCGTCAGATAATTCCTTCGAGCAGGAACTAGTTGATGCGGTTATAACATGTGCCCTAGTGTAACATGTGAAAGAAGCGACTAGGTACGACCCGGACACTGAATCATCTTTACTAAATCTTATATTAACTCACTATGAGGATGACGTTGCGAACCTCCATTACATGCCACCCCTACGTAAAAGTGATCACGCAGTTTTAACTTTTGACTTCCATATAACTGTCAATCACGAGCACGCGTCACCTCAATCCAGACCTAACGACTGGAAAGCAAACATACCAGATATCATTCACTCAGCACCGTTAGTAGATTGGACAATAGACCCAGAGTCCTCAATTGAAACGGCTTGGGACGCATTCCGAAATTTATACTTAAAAGTTGCCGCACCCCACATCCCTCGGACTATACCAATGTGGCCGAGAAACTCTCCACCATGGTTCAGTAGGGAGGTCCGCATCCTTCTCCGTAAGAGAAAAAAAATGGAATAGATTTAGGTTACTGAGGACTGATGAGACAAAGTCTAAGTGTCGAAAAGCCAGGAATACCTGTGCCTCGACCCTCCACAAGTCTAAAAAGCTGTACGAACAAAAAATTGTTAAGGAATCCATAGAATATCCTAAGCGCTTGTATTCCCATATAAACCAAAGGACAAAAAGAAGAGGGAAAATCCTGCACTATGGGGAGACAGTACTGCCGCATCATTAGTGGAAGATGACTTTGGTAAGGCTCAAGTGTTCTCAAACTACTTTAGCAATGTATATACCATAGAAGCACCCTTCCCGTCAGCGCATACTAACCCCCCCACACACACTGGATAGCGTGACCATTAAAGAACTCGATGTCTCTGGTCTGCTAAGTAAGCTTGACATAGGTAAATCCATGGGGCCCGATGAATTGCATCCTAGGCTACTAAAGGAATTATCTAACTTCGTTGCGAACCATTTAAGTATATGCTTTAAGCTATCCGTAACGCAGAGTCATTTACCAAAAGACTGGACGAACGCTATAGTAATTCCTGTCTTCAAAGCAGGTACGAAATATAAGCCTGAGAATTACTGACCTGTTAGCCTAACTACTGTGGTTGCTAAAATCTCAGAAAAGGTTATTCGGAAGGAGCTGTTTAAGTACCTCGATGTAAACCGGATCCTTTCGGAGAAACAGCACTTTTTCAGAATAGGTTATTCTTGTCTCACCAACTTATTAGTCGCTCGTGAAATTTGGTGAGCTCTTAAGGACCAAAATCTATCTGTAGACGTAGCCTACATTGATTTCAGCAAAGCTTTTGACAAGGTTCCGCACAACCGGCTGTTATATAAGCTAAAAAAATGTCGGAATTGGATATAAGTGGATATAAGACTTCCTAGTTGGGCGCCAACATAGAGTACGGGTGAACTCAAAGTTATGTAGCTGGGAAACTGTGCTTAGTGGAGTGCCCAAGTGTACAGTTTTGGGGCCAGTTCTATTCTTCTTGTATGTAAATGACCTTCCTCGCTTACTATCATCATCGGTCTTGCTATATGCTGACGATGTCAAGATATGGAGAACGATAAAATGTAGGGGTGATAGTTTAGAACTCCTAAACGACCTGAAGAAACTATATGAACGGTTTCATACCTGGCAGTTGCCGATAAATACTTCCAAGTGTGTTGTGATACATATCGATCATCAAGGTACAGATACATACACGATAAATAACACTGAGTTATCTGTTGTCCAGACACATAATGACTAAGGAGTCATCGTTAGCCGAGATCTGAAGACTACAGCACACTGCCGTGCAATAGCCGCCAAAGCTTTTAGAACTTTATGGTCAATACGTAGGCCTTTTACTCATGTCGACGCTCAAACGTTTCTGACTTTGTATACAGTGTTCGTACGTCCTAAACTTGGGTACTGCATACAAACGGCTAGCGTTCTGCTTAAAAAAAGATAGTGAGCTTTTGGAAAAGGACCAGAGAAAAGCAACTAAACTGATTCCCCAAATAGCGAAGCTTCCGTATGATGCTCGACTGACAAAGCTAAACCTATCCCCTTTGTCATATCGTAGAATTAGAGGCGACTTGATTACATATGATAATTAGAAGTAATTGAATTATAGTATGAACTAAGAATCCCAGGGATAACGCAATTAAATCAAGAAGTACTACACAAGCACTAACGAATGTACTGTATTTAGAATTCGAAATCAAACATTCAACAAGTACAAAGCAATCATTAGTTCATTCAAACACCACATTACAGTTTACAAATTGCTTAGTGATAAATTTGCACCTGATATGCCATCACTTTTCTTGTCTTCCAAAACAGAGAATTTACGAGGGCACTCCAAAAAAGTTCGCAAGCCCAGAACAAATTACTTGTCAGCTGTTTATCAACTTTCCGATCGAATTCATCACCTCAGCACGTGATTGAGGCTCCATCCGTCAACTCTTTCAAAAGAAAGTTAGATCAACTGAGAGACCATCATTGCCAGGATTAACACAGTCCATCAAGCCTCCTGTCCTTTCAAACTGAAACTGAATGAGGAGGTACCCGCTCTAGTTGAATTTGAGGTTACATGTGCAAGGTAACATTCGCAACGTATGTATTTGGGATTTCTATGTTTCTTCTTTTCATTACTCGGACTCATAAATTCAGTCCAACCAACACCAAAAGTGTATAATTTGCAAAATCATATGAAAATTTTTACCTTTAACCAAGAATCATTTGTGATATGTTCAGATATGGTTGTGTATCGAGATTGGCCTTATATGATTTTCGGCAATATCCTTATAAATATTGGACTAAAAACCACGGTAAATTTTGGTTCATTGGAGCCCTCCTACAAAGTTCACACTGATTGGACTGAACAACTGGATGCAAAACCCCTAAAACTCGATGAAGATGACAGCGGCTTTTCAGATGCTTCAGTTTCAAATAATTTGCATGACAAGATGAACAAAATTATGTTTTCAAACAATTCCAGAGTCTTTTTAACGCTCTCACCTATCACTAAAACCTGCTTTATGATATTTGACATAAAACCTAATTATATGGATTCGGGATATTTGGAAATTCATTCAAACCTTGAGTTTGATAGGAGTCGATTGATTCTATCTGTTGTCGGGCTCTTAATGCTTATTTGTTCAGAATCAATAGCCAACTCAATTCTTTTCTATTATATATCTGGTACTAGTATCGTGTTATTTTGCAGTATTATATTAGTCCTTATTGTCTTGATAAAAATGATGCCGATGCGCCGAGCAGGAGCTGTCTTACAAAGTGTCGTCTTTCTTTTTAGTGGCACGTTGGGTTTAACCTTTTTCTTCATTGATTATTTACGCTCTGTTGTCGTACGGGTTGTGGTTTCAAAATGGGAATTCGTATTTGGATACGTCCTTATTGTCTCAGTATGCTCCCTTGTAATCTTGTACTGGTTGCGAATACCAGACAGATTAGTAACGAATTTTCCTCGAACAAAGATTGTCACTACACTATTCTTCCGCGTTGTTGGCAGCCTTTTATTTGTGTACAGTATGCGCCTACCCTCTATTAGTTCGTCAAATAATGATTCTTCAACACTTTTTAAACATTACCTACCCTTTTCCTGTTCTTTTGACATATTAAACAAATACCCAGAAACATTTCTTCGGTCATTTTTAGTTGTTTTTGTTAACATTCTGTTCAAAATAGTACAGAGTAGTCTTAAGTATTCATCTCTAAAACTTAAACACGCCTCTCAAATGCCTATTGAACACCATATCAACAGAGCTCCAAATGCTCCTCGACATTGCATGGCTGGCTCCCCATGTGCTGCATCTTCTCCATATCATCATGCATTTGGTTTTTCAGACCAAAAGGATTCTCATCTTGGGATCTTTACACCATTTGGAAACCGTAGCTTTGTGAAGAACAGTCATTCAGAATATAGGGGATGTAATCCATGGATTCCAGAACCATGTTCTATAAACCGAAGACAATCTGACGGCTCTCGGCGAGACAGTCAGCATTTGCATAAGAATGAAATACTAACTGATGATGAAGATTAATATTTTTTTAAATCAAAATGAAAACCTGCTTTTAAACTGGTAATAACTTATGTTTTATGTTAATAAATTTTCGACGTATTTTTTGTTTTTCTGAAATGTTTATTTTGAAGACTCGCATGTATGTCATATCATGGAAATGAACGACAATTTGTTTTTTGTTATATAAGAAAGGAGTGTGTCAGACTTCGCTAAAACTCACATAACCAGTTGTATTTGTTTGCTTATTTCCTCACAATCGACACACTGTTCGCGAATTGTCGTTTACATGTGTTCTGTCGGGATCATAATTATCAATGTATTTAGTAACCCACCATGTGTTGAACAAAAATAGTGTTACAAGAATGGCCCAACCTTTGCTTATTTCACCACCACTGAATTAACTACTATGAATCCGGTGTTCATCTTGTGCTAATCAGGTATGGCAACTTGGACCGATGCATATATGTGCTTGGTCCTACGTTGCAGCTGACTGCTTATTTTACGCGTAGGGTTCAGAGCCGTTGATTGCCTGGGGTTCATTGACACTACGTTTTGTGCCAACTCAAGTGACAGACGAAATCTCGGAAAATTTTCGGAAATTTCGAATTAAATCTGTCACCGGAAGTTATTCATACTACTGGTAACATTTGGTCGTTTATTATTCGGTGAATAATTCTCACTGTTTGATTTTTCACAATATTGTGCAGTGAGATGTAATCACTTAAAGTAGAGAACATCAAGGCATTACAGCCATTCAAGTAGTGAAACATCACGTAATAAATGATTATTCAAAATGCCAGGTAAATTGAAACGGATTATTAATTTTGACCTAATGGGTTAACAACACTACCTACTAAAATTTGAGGATCTGCGTTGTCAACACACTACAAATGTGGCCGGACTGTTCGGAGTGGCTTCAGTTGTATTAAATCACTTATTTCTAGTGCTCTGCGAAATCCTAGAATACTCACATTTTCTCCAAATAGTGTAGACGGATAGTTATTATTCTATAGACCAGCATTGTATGTTGACCTGACCACGCTTTAACTTCTACCTTACCCCCACTCAAACGGTGAAACATTGTGGTTTGCCTCTATCATTCACTTTTGCTCCATCATTAAGTTATTCTCCCTAGCTGTTTCATTTTCATTCATTTTTCATTTCAACACATAGATATTGGTGCAAAGAGGCACCAAATACATATGCGCCACACATATCTCATTTGATATGTGTGAGGGCTGTGATACTGCCCGGGTGCCCAAACCGAAGCAGGTGGTTTTCTTAGGGGGCCACACCCCGAGCCAACGATTGGTTCATACGTCATTTGTTCCTTCAGGATACTGGAGCCCATGTGCACCATTGGTTTGGAGTCCGGTTAAAGCGCCGGACATTCGCTTTTCGTCCTCTCAGTTTCGTAAACAACACCCGTGGTGCGAGAAGGCAGTGAGTAGGACTTCCCTGGCAGAGGCTATATATGCATGGCCATGTGAGGGCATTTCGAGGAGAGCGGACTCTCCCCACTCTCGGCCGTACCAGGGCATTTGGGGGCAGCTTAATCTCTGCATTTAGCTATAAAATAATCGATCTATTTCCAAATTATTATTTATTTAAACTCAAACATTGGTACAAAGAAGCACCAAATATATATGTGCCACATAAATCTTTCGATTTGTGTGAGGACTGAAACACTATCCGGACACCCAAACAGATACAGGCGATTTTCTTAGAGGACCACTCCCAGAGTTTTCGACCTAAAGGTCTGATCCACAAGGCAGTGGAGCAACATCAGGGAATGCAGTCCCATGGCAGCTGGTAACCAACGACTGGTTCATACGCCATTTGCTCCTTCAGGATACTGGAGCCCATGTGCACCATTGGTTTGGAATCAGGGTTTTCCAACTCCCCTAGGTGAGATTTCCATGTCCACCAACCCGGTTAAAGTGCCAGGCATTTGCTTTTCATCCTCTCAATTTCGTAAACAACACCCCCGCCACGAGAAGACAGCAAGTAGGACTTCCTTGTCAGTGGCTGTATTATTTATTTATTTTGACACATAGATATTGGTAAAAGGAGGCACCAAATACATATGCGCCACACAAATCTCAATTGATATATGTGAGGGCTGTGATACTGCCCGGGTGCCTAAACCGAAGCAGGTGGTTTTCTTAGAGGGCCACACCCCGAGCCTTCGACCTGAATATCTGACCCACAAGGCAGTGAAGCATCGTGAGGAGATGCAGTCCCATGGTAGCCGGTGACCAACGATTGGTTCATACGCCGTTTGTTCCATCAGGATACTGGAGCCCATGTGCACCATTGGTTTGGAGTCCGGTTAAAGCGCCGGACATTCGCTTTTCGTCCTCTCAGTTTCGTAAACAACACCCGTGGTGCGAGAAGGCAGTGAGTAGGACTTCCCTGGCAGAGGCTATATATGCATGGCCATGTGAGGGCATTTCGAGGAGAGCGGACTCTCCCCACTCTCGGCCGTACCAGGGCATTTGGGGGCTGTCAGTGGCTGTATACTCGTGGTCATATGAGAGTATTTCGAAAGGGCGATCTCATTTTCCCTCCCCCGGCCATAATTAGAGCATTTGGGGCACACATTAAGCAAACTCCCTAATTTTGTCTGTCGATCTATCGGAACAAACTAATTGATTCGCTGAGTAACTTGATGTTCTCATACTTATGTTTGAATTATATCCATAAAAACAAATCAGATCTGCATAGTAAAAGAAATGTTTAATTCTGCGACTTAAAGTATCTGTGAAACGAACCTGAAATTTACTCATACTCTTAAGTAGAGTAGAACTTGAAAAAAAGTTCGATAGTAAAAATAACTTAATAATGACAATAGCATTGTGGTAGATAGAAGTAAGTGGTCTTGTATTTTAAAGTGGGATACATTTCAGTTACCAAATATCATAACTGTATTTTCATTTGGATTTTTCTGTTCAAGCATCTGAACCATTCTCTTGGGCAACAAATTCGCACATTCGTTGATTTTAGTTATATTTTAGACTGAGAAACTGTATGTGTGTATATATGCATTTGTTTAGTGTCCAATATTTGTTACTCTTGCTTTAGTAAGGAGTATGCGAACTTGCATCAGTTGATTTATATTCATTATAGAAATAATCCCAGAATAATATAATACAGTTTAGATGCAGGGAGTCAATATTAAGGCTGAGTTATTTAGGAAGATGACTAAAGGGACGGCACAGCTTACTGATAAAGTCTGCTTTTCATGTGATGTGCTTTTCGGATCTATCTTCTTCTTTTCTTCCGTTAACTCTTAGTGGCATCACTTATTTGATTCCACTCAAAATTTGGTTAAATTTTGTACTGAACAACTCTTGAAATAAGACAGAACCAAAACGAAAGCGGATACATGGATCCATCCGTTTAGGATTCACCACTATCACTATTATCACTTGAAAATTCAGTCAGATGATTTTGTTTGAATTGTACACAACATACTGTCTCCAAAATATCTAAGTACCCATCCCGATTCCTATGATAGAATGCCATTAGTGTTTTTGGCGTCTTAGTTATGAGTTAGGATTTCTTGTTGTTGTTTCTCATTTGTCAAAGAGACTGGAGCCTTCTGTAGATTAATAACTTTTGACAGCATGATAAACGTCTCTTAAGAATTACTAGCAATTTTCGACAACTAAATCCATTTTAAGCTTAACAGGTTTTTCAAACTTGAGAGTTCTAGAGCGATTCACAAACATAGTTATAAAATACACTACTGAATTCTAGAATAGTTTTAGTGATTTAATCAATGCTTTATAGCTTCCGATCTTCGTTTAATCCATACTGGCGTGTGAAAAAGTCTGTTGTGAATATCGCTTTTAGTATTTCTGACAAAATACCAGTCCTATTTACATAGTCGGAATTTGATAAGCAAAGAGAGGTGGTCATTACTGAAATTATAGCTGACTTATAGTCAGTTTAGTAATAAACTGCCAAGATAGGATAAATGGTAAAGCGAAATATTCCCAGTAGCATATCAAGAAACTTTCACCTACCATTTAATTCTCCGCTCTAATGTTCCTGTAATATAAAGTCTTAAAATTAGACATGGTTGGCGAACAAGAACGATACTAAACAGTAGGTTTCGTTTATCAGACAAATTTCTAAGATTGTAGTTCGTCAGCATCACTTGTATTTTGCGTAAACAAGTTTTAGAGAGAAAAACAGGTATGAATAAAAACGGGAGTATTTCCATGTCATAACCATGAGAAATGCCACTAAATAACTAGTCATCTGAATTTTCAAGTTGCATCAACCACTTCTATGTGTAATCTCCCTTCCCATATTGGGTAAACAATATTACTTTGTTTAGTGAGCTAACTTCACATTAACCGTTGTAAGATAGGATGATTTAATGTCTAGATGTTAATTTAGATAGCTGGATTTCGCACGAGAACTAGGTCTTCCTCATGTTGTGCCTGCATTTGAGTTGGTGTTCACTCTGGGACTCGAACCCAGTACCGTTCGCTTCAAATACCACCGCGTTATCCACTTAGCTACTGAGTCCTGTTAGTCACTTGCTTGTGCAATGGGGTGAAATTTAAATTCACTTGTTATTGTTTTACTTGAATCTTCCTATTGATGTTTAGGACTGAAATTGATCAGTCTCTTATTGGCAAATAGGATGAAACGCGCGTCCTGCTATCCACTATCCATTTTTGATTATAATGCTTGTGAATCAAAGCAGTGTGCACATATGCCAATAAGAGACTGATCAATTCCAGTCCTAAACATCAATGGAAAGATTCAACTAAACAATACCAAGCGAATTTATCAGTATATTCGTTTCTAAGTGTTGTTTATGATATCAGCGAGACTAGTGAAAGAAAACGGTCTCCAGTTTGTTATTCTCTTTAATATTATGGGCAACCCTCTCCCTTCAACAAGTCATATTAATACAAAGTGTCCAGTTGTTGTGGATACCAGTGATATATAAGAAAGAATTATGAGACCCGTGCACTTGACAATCCAGGAATAAATCGAAAGTGCTATGGATCTATTGCAGAAGTTTTGTTACTGAAAATTTAGCATTATTAGATCACTCGGACACATTACGTGCTGC